GTTCAGCATTTTAACTGCAGCCCACCTCTTGAGGGCAGGAAAGTGAGAAGAAATTGATGGGATTGTCACAATGAATTTCAGCAAGGCTCTATTTCATAGACTTCCTATGAAACATTTATGAAAAAAACAACTTTAAATGAAAAATTCAAAGGTACAAGAACATTATAGAAAATTTCACAGGCAATGTGCTTTTACAGTAATTGACACTACCTTATAACACCATTGCAGAATGCAGTCTTAACTCTGGAGTCATACCCAGTAACTCCTCTCTACCATTCTTTCATTGCCAATATAACTATGCCTATTAACTGAATGTTACACATGAGGCATTTATTATTAGCCATTCACTTATTGGGTTATTATAATCGTAGCTATACAAAATACAAATAAACTATCAAGTGAACTATTTTTGGCATGTAGAAAACATCATAAATAAAAATGTCATGGTATTTAGGGAAATTCTCATTATACTCATTCTATTACATGTCAAGAAGGGTTCACAGGATGGATCCTTCTTATAAGTTTGTTTGCATTTGATAGACTTGTTATTTGTGCAGCACTGAAATAGTGTATTGACAATTATGGGCAAAATAAGCAAAATTTTGTACCACTGACTTTGGGTCCAAGGTAACTCTTTCCAGGAGCTTACAACCTAAATATGTTCTTTAAATTTATGCATGAGTAATCTTACTGACTTCGAAGTGACTGCTTGTGTATATGTATTTCACTGAATCACAGTCCAAGTTTAAATAATGAGAAAAGAGATTGAAGAGTAGGGTATGCTTTAGGAACACCATTTTTCATGATAAAATTGCTGCATTGTTGATTTCTGATTAGGACTCATCATGTGGTGCAATGGGAGAAGAGGATACTAGCACCTTGAAGGAATCTATGAGCATGGTGCAAACTTGGAGCCTTGAATTTGCTTATTACTTCATAGTTAACGCTACAGTGAAAAGTTAGAATTTAGAGGCCTGATAAAAGAGGTGAATTTTAAGATTTTTTTAATAAAAAGTGGTCACTAGATTTACAGTATCTGGAAAGCTGTTTCAGTTACATGAAACAGAATGGAAGAAGGTGACTTTTATATTAACTGAAGGAAAACATATGTAGCATGCTGTTTTAGTTGACACAGCACAGTTGTTTGTGCACACAACTGAGGGTACACATTGGTATCTGTCAGAGCCAGCTCCCGGCTCTATTGAAGTGAATGGGAGTGTTTCCATTGACTTCCATGTATCAGGTCCTCACTCAGTTAATTATCTATCCTTCAGGTCTCAGTGACGGAACAACTAAATAACATCAATGCATTTATATTGTATGAATGCTTCTTTGAAAATGATATAACATTTTAAATATTACATTTAAAAACAGAACTTTTATTTAAATATTTTATATGCCACGGCACTGATGACAGTCTTAAAAACAAGAAAGAGTTCTACCTCCCAGTTCTACCTGTGGCTGCATCTACACAAGATGCTTTACTGTGCAGTAGAGCAGTTTACTGTGCAGTAAGCGAGCACATCTAGATGTGAACACGCTTACTGCTCAGTAAACTGCTTTAATCGCAAGTAAATTTGCTACCAGCGAATGCAAATAGCAAATTTACTTGCAATATTACTGCACAGTAGAGTTTGTATAGATGCCTGACCGGGAGTAAATGTGCTCCTGGTCATCCAGGCAGCAGGGGGTGGGAGATTACTCCCTGACCCGGGAGCTGCCTGCTGCTGGGGTGGGCTTTGCCAATGGAGCCTGGGCAGGGACAATGTCCCACTGCCCTGGAAGCAGGGAGCTTTCAGTCCCCCTCTCCAAGATCATGATCAGGGAGTGGGGACTGGGAGATCCTTATGTCCCAGCACCAGCTGCACAGTCATGGGGCTTGGACTGAGCTGAGCTAAGGATCTCCCAGCCCCCGCTCCCCAGTCATGGAGTTGGGGCTGGGAGCTCCCTGCTGGCAGGGGCTAGGGAGCCTGTTCCCTGCCCATATCTATGATCACAGAGCTGGGTAGAGAACAAACCCTCGAACCCCTGCCCCACAATTGTGGAACAGGGGCTGGAAACTGTCCCAGTCAGGGACAGTTGTCAGGGACATTGTCCCTGCCCCAGCAGCAGGCAGCCTCCCGGAGGCAGGGAGCAATGTCCCAGCCCAGGCCAAGAGACAGTTGTCTCCTGGCGCGGTACTCCCTGCCAGTTCCTGGGCTAGCACCCAGGGGGAGCGTAGAGCTGCCCCAGTGAGAGCAGGGGCCCATTGCCAGGCCCCAAGAAGCAGAAGCAGTTTTCTGCCATTAGCAGCAAATCTTCTCCTGTGCAGCAAATCTGATCTTGCTTCCCTGCACGTGTAGACACCTGCCTGGGAACATTTACTCATGAGTAGTTTACTCATGAGTAAACTGCTCCCAGATCTAATGCCCATGTAGATACAATTGTGGATTAGTTCTTTCTATCACACTAGTTCTATCACATTTATTATTATAATAAACAATATTATGTAAGTAAATAGCAAAATTCGCTAAAAGAAAACCTTATTATTAATAGCCACATAATAAGTCATCTACTTTACATAAAGAAACAGTTTTACACAATTGCCAAAAAACCCTCTGATATATTTGTCTCTTCTCTATGCCTGGGTACAAAAGGCAGTCAGTACTGTTTAAAATGCCTTCATTACTCCTTTTAGAAACTTTAAAATTATCTAACCCTTTAAAAAACAAACTTACTTCTAACATCATAAATGCCTGAAAACTACAGAGTACCCTCAGGTTTTTTATTGCTTCTCACCCCAGGACACTACTCTCACCATCTATCTGAGAGACTTACATGAAAAATTCATAGCAATAACAAAGTTCCTAATGGACGATGTAGAGTATCTGGCACTTTCCCTCATTTTAGAGTCAAAATTATTTTAAAGATAGGATTTCATATTTATTATTAATGATTTACTTTTTTATTTTTGGTCATGCCTTAGGGATAGAAAAGAATGTCAATGCTGTATGCTGTTCTGGGGTGGAAAGCCTTTGGTTCTTTTTGGTGAAAAGGAAGATTTTGCCTTAAATACCTAGCTGAACAGAAGCATATTGACCTACCTGGAACTTTGGGAAAGATTTTGTCACAGCCAGATGCAACATCTGCCCTTGTGTGCATTGTATGTGTATGAATAATGCAGCCTGTTCTTCATCGTGTGCAAGCCCCCTCAGCTGGCTAAAACCCAATGTATGCAGCCATGTAGCATTTGCACAGAGATTTCATTGTTTGCCCTGAGTTGAAAGGCTACAGTGGTCACACCCTCCTTCCACCACCGCCATCACTGCCATCCCTGGCTGGCCTGGGTGCAGGGGAAGCCCCAGAGCTGTTCTTGTCCCGCTCCAGCCACAGATGGCAGTTTGGTGGGGTGCTGGGCTCAGCAGGGGATAGTGGCAGCAGTGGGCAAGTTGCCTCTTCCTGCACATGCTCCCTGCTGCCTTCCCCATGTCCCCCACTGGCTGGGAGCAGGTGCTGGAAGGAGGATACAAGCTCTTGGGGTAGAGGCGATATTTTTTATTAGACCAGTGCCTGTTGCTGGCCAGGGGGGGAAACAAAGGGGAGAGGGGCCAGTAGGGAGCAGGCTCTGGAAGGAGGAGCCTGACACTGCCACTGTGCCTGGCAAGATTGGCTCTCCGCACAGCCTGTGTCTGGTCAAGCCCAGCTCCCCACACAACTACTTCCTGCATCTGTGTGGTAAAAATGTCTTATGTTGCAGCCATAATACTTGTCTTAAGAAACACGGAGGCTAAGACGTGCTCTGCACATGGCTCACTTTTGTGCATGGCCCTAAAGGCTTGCTCATACTCGTTCAGCTCGCTTTGCACGCAGAACTAAGTTTTGCAGACAAGACAATTTGGCGGGCTGCATTAGACAACTCCTTAAATGGAAATGAGGAAGAAACAGTTCATCTGAACATTGCCCTAGAGCTACCCCAAAGGACGAGGTTATTAAGGGGCATTAGTTTCGCCGCAGTTCTGCTTTTGGACTGCGCACGCGACAGGACCTTTTGACGCAGTTCTGCTTTTTGACTACGCATGTGCTAAACTTGATAGGAAATAACAACCAATAACAAGTTAAGCTCGACCTGCAAGGCAAGGCGTAACAATAAGGAAATTGTAAGGCTGCCAATAATCGCGCGACACGCTGAAACCCCCTGTTTGTTGTCTATAAAAGTGGAACCTCGGGCACGGCTCGGGGTCGACTTTGCTTTGAGCAACTGAGCTCCTCTGTCGAACTGTTTGCAAACAATAAACTCGAGTTGGACCCAGCCTGAGTGTGTGACTCTCTCCTTGAGGTAAATCGGACAACGCCTCCGGGGGCACAAAACTAGCAATTTGTGCAACATCTGGAGCAGAGCAGGA